TTCGCCTGGGTTTAAAAATGCAGTAGAAGTCTCATAATGAATTGCATCATTGTTTCTGGTGCATTTAAGTGGAAATCATTGTTGTATATGTTCTTCCAGTGAAACTCCACTTCCTTTACATATACATTACAGAACAGCAATAATACAATTCATCATATTTCTAGAGCACTTTACAGTTTTCAGATTGATCTCACTCACCTAATTTCCTCATATGATCCCTAGGTGATCAGCAAGATGAGTATTATTACCCCCATTTTACAAATGAGGAAATCGAAACTCAGAGGAGTTCATCGACTCACACAGATAAGCTGGGAAATTCTTCTATCTGCAAATAGTGTTCTTCCTACGATGTCTCATGTATCACCTACACCAGCCTCTGTAGGCTTCTGCCCCAGTTTCTCAATGGCATCTATTCAGCCTCTTATCTCCTCTGGGTTCAGTACCCCCTTGACCCAAGAACAAATTCTTCCTGGAATTAGCTTCTGGATTGTGGTGACCTTGAGTCAGTTCAAGGGCAAAGTTCTGGAAGATTCGGGGGAGGCTTGTTTGTAGTGTCCCTATGTCATGGCTGCCTCTGGGTGTCTCAGGGTCACTTAGCAGCTGAGACACGGCACTGCCTTGCTCACGAATACCCCTGGCTTGTTTTGACTGTACGTCGGTGTCATCTCTGAGCTGTGGCTACGGTGGTTTGGGGATGCAAAGCTTCACAGATGGCAGGTCAGACTGTAAATACTCCACTCCCATCCCATCGTAAAACCAGTCCAAGGAAAACACCAGAAACTAATTAAAACTAAGGCAACAGTGCAAATATTTATGGGGGCAGAAATTCAAACAACGCTAGCAAAAACAAAGCATGCTTTTCAGATCGGTATTAAAGTAAAAGAAACATAATGCCATCTAATGGAAATATATATATTTTTTACCATCAGATTTGATACCCTGCAAATGATTGTTTTAACTGGGAGGATAAAGTCATATAAGTTATTTACTCAAAATGGTCATTAATTTCAGCCATTTGCCTTCATACTGATTGTCTAGTGTTGCACAGTGTCATAGGAAGGGCACAGGAACGGGAGTCAGGATAAATGCCGCAAGGAGTTGTGTAACTTTGAGCATGTCATCTAACCCTGTCCAAAGTGACCTTCGGTTTCTTCAGTTGAGAGGAACAGAGGAAAAGAGAAAAGAAAAGAAGGGATGGGGAAGAAAGACAGCTCTGAAGACACTGTCATCCAGAGGGGCTGAAATGTCTAATCTCTAGTGTATTGGCTCAGGCTGTGGACTTGAACTGGGGTGCCCAGGTTCAAATCCCAGCTCCATCATTCACTAGCTGTGTGACCTTGACAAATTCCTTAGCTTCTCTGTGCCTTTTGTTTTCTTACTTGTAAAACCAATCTGTGTTGTGAGCATTAGGTTAGTAAATGTAAGTACTTTCAATAATGCCTAGCTCATAGGAAGTACCTCATAAGCGTTGGGTGTTACTATTATCATCAGATGATCTTTACTTGGAGGATGGAATAATGTGCACTGGAGGAAAGAAAGAATGGAGGGGATTTCTCTAAGGATTCTGTGCTTCTGACTGGGGAATAAATAGCAGAGGGCAAAGAAACTAATATTTAAGTATGTATTATATTGGAAAATTCTGTATTCCCACTGACTAGATCAGAGATGATACAAATGAGGACTCAGAACAATATTTGTTCTAGGAATAAATAATACTGTGATAATTTTTTTTTAATTTCTGTTTTTTGGGAGAGGAGTCTGAAGATCAGAGAGGTTAAGTAATTTGCTTGAGATCACACAGCTAGCAATAGCTGAGCTGGGATTTGAGCCCAGGTCTCCGTGGCTCTGAAGCCCCTGCCCCTTCCATTATACCATGATGCTCTCACAAGGGGTCAGCCAGGAAGGGGACACTAATGTGCCCTTCCAGAGTGAGACAGGGCTCCTGCTTGGTGACTGCTACACAGCAGACAGGACCAGGAGTGCCGTAATTCTACCAAGTGTTGCCTGGGTATCCCTTTATCACTGGCTGCTGCCCTCCGTTGCCTTCCAGCTGCTACCATCATTCAACTCTCCCCTCACCCCCTCAGCTTCCATCACCAATGCTAGGTCGGGGTGGGCTTGATATGATGTTGTTTCACATGCAAAATTAGCAGATACGTGGCTGACCCTTAGCTGGCACAAGGCAGGTATTCAATATGTTTGTTTTGCTCCCTTTGCTCCCTTAACCTCTGACAACAGTCAGGCCTGCCTAAGGCCAAGGACCCAGCTGATTTAGATGTTCATGTTAAAGGCCAATCATGGTCTGAGCTGTTAGGGATCCTGAGGTGAGTGTAGCACGCAGGACGCTGCCCTCTGGGAGTTTATGTGTAACCGGGGACAGAGCCATACTGCAGGGGCGTGCAGAGTGGCGAGTGGTGACACTAGTGGAAGGAGGAGGGGTGGCTCAGCTGCAGGAGGCCCGGGGGGCGCTCCACACAGAGAGCGGGTTTTGAGCCAGGGAGGGGTGCGAGGAAGGGCAAAACAGAGACCACCACAAAGGCAAAGGCCAGAGTCACAGAAGACCCAGAGCTTCCAGGACTTGGTGAGCACGCAGGGCTGCACGTGGTACAGGCTGCCTGGGGAGGACATGAGGCTGCGCGGAAGGGACGTGCAGTGCTCCGGGTGCTCCGGGGCCTGGACCATCCCCAGGGCCAGGGTCGGGGGGACTAAGGAGGAGAGCAATGCGGTTGGACTGGTTTGGAAGAAACTCCCTCAGGCAGTATGTTCAGATGCTGCTGTGGGGGGATAGGTTCGTGCAGGGGGAGCAGTTAGGAGACCCTTCCAATTCATCCGTGGCCTCCTCTAGAGCAGGCGATTGATGGAGAATTGAAGAGAAATGACTGAGGCGGCATCATAAGGATTTGGTGACTGGTGGGGGTGAAAACTCAGGGAAAGAATCATGCAAGCGTTTCCAGTTGAGAGACTGAGCAGGTGATGACCATTTAACGGAGGTGGGAAAAGCCAGATGAGGACAGCGTAGGCTCACAGCAGCCCAGCAGTGTAACAGAGACAATACTCTCTTTCAAAAAGCACCCATGAGGCTTCCCTGGTGGCGCAGTGGTTGAGAGTCCGCCTGCCGATGCAGGAGACACGGTCCGGGAAGATCCCACATGCCGCGGAGCGGCTGGGCCCGTGAGCCATGGCCGCTGAGCCTGCGCGTCCGGAGCCTGTGCTCCGCAACGGGAGAGGCCCCAACAGTGAGAGGCCCGCGTACCGCAGGGAAAAAAAAAAAAAAAAAAAAAGAGCACCCATGAGAAGAGTCCACTCCCAGAGCCTCAGCAGGGAGGTGTGCTGAATCCCTGAGCATCCGGTGTGTGAGGGGGGCCTCAGGGACAGAGCTCTCAGAGGGAGAGGCTCCCCTGCTACAAGGGAAGGGATTTCTGAGGAACTGCAGCAGGCAGAGCTCAGCTTTGCAGGAAGGCATTTCATTCATGCATTTCTTCATCCTTTCATTTATGGAGTGCCTGCTGCATGCTGGCTCAGAGCTAAAGGGAGCGAAGCAGAGGTAAGAGAGCCAGTGCTCGTCCTCCAGAGACTCAGACTAGCTGTGAAGGAAGAAGTAACGGGAAGCATGTTCCAGTACAATCCACGCTATGGTAAAAGTGAGACAGGAAAGAATGGGGAAGGCTACCTGGAGGAGGTGGCATTCGACTTGGATCTTGAGAGGTTTGTAGAGGTTGGCCAAAGAATAGGACCTGCACCTTCTAACAGAGGAACAGCTTTTGCAAAGTGTGGGGAGGAAGCAGAGTGGGACCGGAAAGAGATTCAAGGTGCATGGAATGGGAAACAGGTGACCCTGGATTTTAAAAATGAAAATGAACTTTGAAGAACAATGGTACTATGTGAGGTGATGGATGTGTTAATGAACTTGATCGTGGTAATCATTTCATGATGGACACATACATTAAGCCCCATTGTGCACCTAAAAAAGAAAAAGAATAATCATATTATACAACCTGAATGTATACAATTTTTGTCAATCAATCATACCTTAATAAAGCAGGAAAAAATGGACTTTTGTTACCAACCCTTTCAAGTTGGGTCCCAGCAGGGGTCCTTCTGCCCGGTGTCTTTCACACCAATAGAACCAGACCAAGTTGGGTTCAGAAGCAAAGGAAAGCTTTATTCTTTGATCAAAGAATGGAGAGCTGCAGGATTGCGATCTAGAGCACAAGGTCTCCCCCAGGCCGTGGGCCGGGCTGCTGTATAGGGATCTCGTCAGCAGGGAGGGGGCAGGTTCTCAAGGGAAGGGCACAGCTGTGCTGCTCACACTCCAGATCACAGTGCAGGGCGCAGCATCTCTGCACGAGCGCCCCACCCCCCTACCCATGAGCAAGCGGAACTAGAGGAAGCACAAAGGAAGAGGTTAGACCTTATCACCCAGATTCCATCTTATTCTCCCTCCCCCACCCCAGTGGGCTTTGCTGGTGACACTGAGGTTGAGGATGTTCCAAAATAGTAGTGACAGCCCCATATCAGGTATTGGCCACCTCACCCCAACTCTGAAGGGCACTGGCGGGACCGCAGGGGATACACAGGCGGAACCTGCTGGTGGCGGAAGTGGGTCTGCTGGGTGAGACCAAGCCAGCTGGGGCACTGCCCGCGCTTGGCCCAGGACACCTGCCGATTCCTCCCGTGTGTGTGGAGGGAGGGACATGAGCCTCCTGAGCCCTCTCCCGAGTGTTTGCACTTTGTTCACCAGGGGCTTCAGCCAGGTGACGAGTAACCCGCAACACGGTACTCGGGCCGTGGTGCAGCTCCACTCAGGCCAGCTTAGAGACCCACGGGGACTGAGAGCCCAGGTGTGTTTTACAGTTACCTGTGGACAGGTGGGTCCTTCCTGATCGTGGCAGGCAACGTTGATTCTGGTCAAACCAGCAGGATGTCCCCCTGTACCTTTCACCATGACGAGTTACAACCGCTCAGATGGGTCAAAATATCTCCTTTCCTCTCCTGAGCAGACGCTGCCCCCGTTCCTCCTTTTCCTGGATTGGAGTCAGGACACCAGGGTCTCATCCATGTTCTGCAGTGAATTTCCCTGGTGAGTACGGGCCAGGCCCTTCACTTCTGTTTCTCCATTTTGAAAATTGGTGGCCCGTCCACATCCAGCTCTTGGTGAACGTGTTCAGGTCAAGGTGCCCGCTTAGGTAGCTTGCTCTGTCTGTCTCCCAGCCTTCTCACGCGGGGAACAGGTTATTAATATGAAGTGTTCAACTTCAGCATTCCTTTTTTTTTTTTTTGCGGTACGCGGGCCCCTCACTGCTGTGGCCTCTCCCGTTGCGGAGCACAGGCTCCGGACACGCGGGCTCAGCGGCCATGGCTCACGGGCACAGCCGCTCCGCAGCATGTGGGATCTTCCCGGACCGGGGCACGAACCCGTGTCCCCTGCATCGGCAGGCGGACTCTCAACCACTGCGCCACCAGGGAAGCCCCCAGCATTCCTTTAGTGAAGTGTTATTAAATAACCTATTCTTTCTCCCCCACTCCCTCTCTTTCTCTTTGTTTTCTTCCTGCCCCATCCTCGTCAGCTTGAGGAGCTGGAGAAAGAGGACTTGGTCTTAAATTGGGCACAGCTGTGTATTTAAGCAACCACCAACGACACCATTCAGTTTTGACAGGATTCTTCTCTCCTCACTAGAGGAACCAGGAATTTCCACTTGATAGTTTGTTCCTACCTTCCTAGAGAACCCTACCACATCATTGCAACTTGGTACAGAGAAAGAACCGTGAGCTAGGCATTGACTGCTGTTCCCTGTTTGTATAATGAATAGATCAAAGAGATAACAGAGGCACGCATTCGTTTAAGCCAAAAGATAGCTGAGCAAGTTACAGACTACATAAGAAAGCATGAACTGCAAATTAATTACCCATTTTGGAAGTACCATAGTTTATCAGATTATTATAAAATTCCAGAAGAGAACTTGGAAATCAACTAGTCCTATCATATCTTTTTATAGATAAGGAAATTTAAGACTGAAAATAAGTTAACTCACCCAAGGCCACAGCAGTATTATTTGGTCTTATTCTGGGGAGCTGTGAAATAAAATGACAAAGAAAAAAAAGGGCTAATCTTCTAAAATAGAGTTCAGCAAACTTTTTCTCAAAGGGCCAGATAGTAAATATTTTAGGTTTGTGGGACATACAGCCTCTGCCATTGTAGCAAAAGCAGCCATAGACAAGTAAATGAGTTGGCACGGCTGTCTCAATAAAACTTTATTCACAAAAACAGGTGATGACACTAGGATGGCGATAACAATTTTTAAAAAACGAAAACAAGGATGTGGACAAAGATGTGGAGAAATTGGAACTCATACATTGCTGGCAGGAATTAAAATGGTGTATATAAATAAAAATAGTGTAAATAAAATGGTGTAGCCACTGTGGAAAACAGTTTGATAGTTCTTCTAAAAGTTAAACATAGAATTACCATATGACCCAGCAATTCTACTGCTAGACATATACTCAAAATAATTGAAAACAGGGACCCAAACAAGTACATATACATAGGTTCACAGCAGCACTATGCACAATAGCTAAAAGGTGGAAATAGCCCAAATGTCCGTCAATGGGTAAACAAATCCTTGTGTACACATGCAAGAGAATATCATTCAGCCATAAAGAGGAATGAAGTACTGACACATGCCACAGTGTGGATGAACCTTCAAACCGTTATGCTAAATGAAAGAAGCCAGACACAAAGGCTACATATTGTGTGATTTCATTTATAGGAAACCTCCAGAATAAATAAATCTGGAGATTTCACATAAATGATAAATAAATAAGTAGAGACAGAACGCAGATTGGTGGTTGCCAAGCACTGGGGGAGGAGGGAATGGGGAGACATTGCTTAATGGGTACAGGACTTTTTTTTTAAATTAATTTATTTTTTGACTGTGTTGGGTCTTCGTTGCTGTGTGCTGGCTTTCTCTAGTTGCAGCGAGCAGGGGCTACTATTTGTTGCAGTGCGTGGGCTTCTCATTGCGGTGGCTTCTCTTGTTGCGGAGCACGGGCTCTAGGCGCGAGGGCTTCAGTAGTTGTGGCTCGTGGGCTCTAGAGTACAGGCTCAGTAGTTGTGGCGCACGGGCTTAGTTGCTCCGTGGCACGTGGGATCTTCCCGGACCAGGGCTCGAACCCATGTCCCCTATATTGGCAGGCGGATTCTTTTTTTTTTTTTCCCAGAGGTCTTCTTAGAAGCCCATATGATTTAAATTTATTTATTTATGGCTGTGTTGGGTCTTCGTTTCTGTGCGAGGGCTTTCTCTAGCTGTGGCAAGCGGGGGCCACTCTTCATCGCGGTGCACGGGCCTCTCACTATCGTGGCCTCTCTTGTTGCGGAGCACAAGCTCCAGACGCGCAGGCTCAGTAGTTGTGGCTCACGGGCCCAGTTGCTCCGCGGCATGTGGGATCTTCCTAGACCGGGGCTCGAACCCGTGTCCCCTGCATTGGCAGGTGGATTCTCAACCACTGCACCACCAGGGAAGCCCCTGGCAGGAAGATTCTTAACCACTGCGCCACACAGGGAAGCCCCTGGGTACAGGATTTTGCTTTGGAAGGCTGGAAATGTTTTGGAACTAGGTAGAGGTGGTGGTTGTGCAACACTGTGAATGTACTAATTAGCTCTGCATTGTTTCCTTTAAAACAGTTAATTTTCTGTTATTTGAATTTCACCTCAACAAATTATTTAAAAAAACCCAAAAAACGAAACAGGCAACCAGGCGCATATGGCCCATGGACAGTAATGTGCCAATTCCTGTTATAACAGAGAGGGTAGGATGGTTCAGTGACAGTGAGTTTTTTTTGTCAAGAATGTTTGTTGTTGTTGTAATGATTTATCCTATCAAGGAACAGAAATAAAGCAATTTTCCAGGTGTAATATTTTCATGGCTAAGAATATTGAGTGGGAAGATGTCTCCAAACCTAACCAGGTGGGTTTTGGACAAATTTCAGACAAAATTTAAATCCGTTGACTCTTTTGGTAAAGACCAAATTCATGTTGAAGGGCTTTTTACTATTTTTAGAACCTATTGGACATCTCCCATCCCAATTTTGGGAACTAAAATAAATGTTTGGAGCTTTTTGTCAACTTCCTGTTTCTAGGGAAGAAGAACCTAGAAACGTCTCATGTAAAATTTGCCAGAAGCTTTTGGAACATCAAAGAATTCCCAGGAAACAAGGGAATTTGTTCATTGTAAAAGCATCTGAAAGAAGACACTAGATAATTTTATTTAATAAATACACACGATGACTCTTTCTCAAAGATAATTTAAGGGCTTTAATTAATTTGGGGTTCAATGACCCCACAACCATGTCTAATTCAAACATGAAAACAAACTGAGAAGCCTGTGAGCTTTGGAAAGATGAGAAATTCTCATGTGAAACTGGACAGCTTGGCCTGATAGGGCTCCCTCGTATTTTGAATTCATTTGAACAGTTAGGAAACGTGAGACAAAGAGGCTATTTTCAACGGAGAAGAAGGTAGAAAAGAAATGATGTCTGTGATTTGACTTTTGTGTGCCAGGCCAGCTCTCCCAGGTGATGGAGGTACCATAGCGCAATTCACTGGAAGACAAGCCCCCTTAGGTGGCTTTTGTTCTAAGAATGGCCGTGTTTCAGGTTACGACAGGATCCATTTAGGCTTTAAAAGAGTCACTAACAAGAAGGGCTGCCTGACATTAGAATGGCTCGTTCCTGAATGAGGAATGTCATTCATGGCATCCTGCTTCCTAACTCAGATGCCTAGTTCTGGGGTATCCCCCTTTCTCCTTGTAGAAAGATCACACAGACCTTATTTACATTTTAGTGCGAATGAATGTAAGGCAGTGAGTATATATACTTAGCCAAATTTCACTGTGAAATAACAAGTGCTGTTTCCTGAGTTCTGGTTCTGGGGAGCAGATTGAAACAGTATATCTGGGCAGAAGCCTCCTTGGGGACCCTGGACATTCACTTTACAGGGGCTACCAATTCTGCCCAAGACTAAGGCTGGCGCAGGAAGGGTCAACATGGGTTTTGGGACTGTGGATGGGCAACTCTTGGAGTGAAGGGCAGATGCCAGAACACTTAAGGACATTTCTCGATCCTGGAAGATTCATTTAGCTCCAGATTCATTTAGCTTTAGGTTGAAAAAGCTGTTCACAGCCAAGGTCGGAGGAGGGTTATTGTTGATTCTTCTTGTTTTTCTTTGTGCTTTGCTGTATTTTCTGCAATGAGCTGTATTACTTTAATAATCATTAAAAACATCTAAAAAAATGTAAAATTAAAAAAAACATTTTCTGCCTATAAATTGTTTTCACTGATCCACAGACTCATCCAAACTTTCATTCAATTTGTCATTGCCAACCTTCTTTTTTTTTTTTTTTGCGGTACGCAGGCCCCTCACTGCTGTGGCCTCTCCCGTTGCGGAGCACAGGCTCCGGACGCGCAGACTCAGCGGCCATGGTTCACGGGCCCAGCCGCTCCGCGGCATGTGGGACCTTCCCAGACCGGGGCACGAACCCGTGTCCCCTGCATCGGTAGGCAGACTCCCAACCACTGTGCCACCAGGGAAGCCCCATTGCCAACCTTCTGAACCTGCTTCTTAAAATAATTTCAACAGGAAAATTCCCAGAATTACTCTGGGTGTAGCTTTTGGTCAGACTGATCGATGTTTTCTGTCCACACAGCCAGGAAGAGCTGGTAGGATTAGATGTTCCAATCACACTGGGGTGAGGACAGATCACCAGGCTTGGTTTGATTGAAAGAGACAGTTGGAATAGTTGTTGGAAGGATTCTGTCCCTGTGTGCGGAGACAGTCTTAGAAATAGATGCCCTTTTGTACCCCTCCCCATATCCTTAAACTAAAATACCACGAATACTCTGCTCATTGTTTATAATCTTATCTGACTGAGGAGAAAGGGGAGGGTTGAATGAATGAGGACCCCAGGACACTGCATCCTCATGAATTTCAAGGAGACATGGATTGGAAGGAAAAGGAGTATTTAAAAAATGTATATACTAAATATGTATAAATGAACTATAAATATATATGAATTTAATAGTTTA